GCATTTCAAACAGCCACGGTCACCAAGTATTTTTCCCTTGCAGTCTGTTGATGACCCAAACCGTGGCAGCGATTTAAGTGTTATAATAGGCGTAGTTATTACAAAAATGTCCTGCCAAGTTGAGTACCGCTGTGGCTTCGTGCGACTTACGCAATTTGAAAGCAAATTATAACTGAAGCTATAGCGTTAGATCAGCATAGTTGATGCGACACGCCTTAAAGCTGAAAATACTTTGATCATAACAATGTGCAAATGCATCACACACGGAAATACCTCCACCTTTCCCATTTAAATAGTAATTAAGTTAAAAAAAAGGTTCGCATGCTGGACATTATTGAAGAGAACATCCTTATATCATGTGATCTTAATTTATAAGCTAGAGTAAAAAGAAAGAAAGCGGCCTGCTGGTGCGGCACGGAAGCGGGGGCGAATAGCGGTGCTGACAATACAACGTACCTGAACGGAGTCTTGCCGAATGTCACTGAAGTATCTGATCAGGAACTTCAGCACTTCCTCCTCATCGAAAGCACCATCTGGAGTGTAGCACTGGCTGCACAGAACCTGTAAGGAGAGATGGAACTTCAAAACATCGAAAAAATTAGAAAGATAGTTGCAGTTGAAAAATGAATGAAACTGTTGGAGGAATGTAAAAATAAGCATGACACACCGGTGGTGGGAATTGTCTCTTGGGGAACTTCGGATCGTCGCTATGATAACCAGATAGACGTTTGTTGACGAAGTTATGTACGCGCCATAACCACATAACCAATTGTTCTGTAAATAGTGATCGAAATCTTTTTCTAATTTTTTCCTATAAAAACGTCGTTCGAATAGTATTTACCTCTGGTAGCAACTTCCTTCATCTTGAAGCTAACAGCCTCTTTTCTGAAGTTCTTGGCACACCATTCACAACTCAAAAATTTGACGACAAAATGATAGAATGGGTCCAAGAATTCTGTGACAGGGTTGAAAGTAGCATCTGTACAAAAAGACATTATAGCAATTGTACTACATTGGGATTTTTGTTGAGCTCACTATTGGCTTCTTGTTTGTATGCTTCTGCTGCCATAGCGTGTGCCAGTACCCAGACACCACAAGTGTATCCGCGAAAATGAGGCTTTGAACCTTTGCATGCAACCCATTCAATTTCTCTGGGCAGAGGGTTTCCAAGATCGGTCTGGAATGTTCACTTTAAATTATGACGTTTGGGCAAAAAAGCTAATTAGCAGCACTTACGTGGACCTCTTCTAGTTTCTTTGTCCAATCTTCATAACTCATGCTGGGACCTTGATTCTGTAGCCACTGATCCATGCGATACAAAAGTCGTCGTATGGGAGTGGTGGTAGGGGCATACTAGAGCAAAAAAGCATTCTCGATCAATTATGTCGCTTTCTAACTAGGCATCGTGAACGAATGCCTTGAATGAATATATTTGCAGTGTTTACAATTTCCTTTCAACTTTGTTGGATTTTATTTATAAGCGCGTCAAATTGTAAGAATTAGATAGTTTACTACCTTCGATATCGGGCGCAATACTGCCTAATAATGTCAGATTACTGCTATACTGAAGATATGACATTTCTGTATGTACGGCACAGGAAGGTCAAGTCATCAAAAAAAA